TATAATTAATTTATAATTTAAGTATCTATAGTATCTATAAATATCTATAAGTATCTATAATAAAATATCTATATAGTATCTATAGCATCTATAAGTATATATACACGTATAAGTATAATTTACGTATCTATTTAATTTAATCTCTAAATATCATAATAATTCAAATGTAGGTATTAATATAAACTCTCGTATAAACATTAAACTATGCAATTAATGTAAACGAAAACAATTTGAATATTAATTTTTATGTAAACCATTTTTTTCATTCTATTTTGTATCAGGATTTAAAGAAATGCTGAATAATATAGATAAATAAAAAAGGTAATTGAAATTCATTTATGTGACAATGTTAACTATATTTTGTCTTATAATACTAGATCCACAAAAATCAATGTTTTTTTTTAAATATATCTCGATAGATTTACAATTACATCATTTTTTAATTGAACAGTGAAGGTATAAAAAAAACAGATAACCAGAGTTTGGGAAACTACAATTCGCTGAAGTAACTGTTGCATTTTAATGTCGCAGTTGAACCTATTAAAGTTATGCTCGTTAAAATCCGGAATGTTCTTCGATCTTTCATTATAAAGAAATTCATGGTTTTTTCACGACCATTCAAGCCACTGAAGTCACCGTTCGAATGAGAAGTTTCATCGGCGAGTTGCAAGATTCCTGAAAAGTGCGAATTATTTTGAGAGAAAATGTACCTATTCATAACACGAGTAAACTCAAAAAAACGGAAGTACTGAAAGAATAACTTCGCTATTGCATACTCTTCCAGCTATAACCTGTTTTGTTAGGGAATTGTGCTAGAAAAAGAAATTACAAGGATTACTGAACTTACGAATACTTTTTCACTGTATTTCTCTAGTTCTTTTTTTTACCATAATATAGCCAACACGAAGAAAATCTTTTCATACAAATATTTGTTAGACAAAGTCATATTATTGTTAGACAAAGTTTATACTTTTTATTTACTAAAATTACCGTATATTTTTAAACTTACTATGTACAATTATTTTTTGCATTTAAAAATGCGCTAATTGAAAGTTAACAAAAATATCATTCATAATTATGCATGTATAATAGTTTTAATAGATTTTATTGATTGTGATAATTACACTCTATATCTATTAGTATCTACGTGATATATTAGTAGTCGTTATACACAA